GGGATGGGGTGGCTGGGTGATGGACACTGGGAAGGGTATGTGCTATGGTGAGCACTGTGAATTGTGTAAGACTGATGAATCACAGACCTGTATCCCTGGAACAAATAATACATTATATGTTAATTAAAAAAATAAAGAAAAAATAAGTAAGAAGTGTAGTCTCCCATCCAGGTACTAACCTGGCCCAACCCTGCTTAGCTTCCAAGATCAGACAAGATTAGGCATGTTTTTGCAGTGGCTAGAGGTGGAGAGTATTATGCTAAGTAAAATAAATCAGTGAGAAAAAGACAAATACCTTATTAATCACTCATAGGTGGGATTTAAGAAACAAAACAAATGAACATTGCAGGGAGAGGCAAACCATAAAACAGACTCTTAACAATGGAGAACAAACTGAGGGTTGATGGGGGGATGGTTTAAATAGGTGATGGGGATTAAGGAGGGCACGTGCTGTGATGAGCACCGGGTATTGGATGTTGTATGTACGTGATGAATCACTAAGGCCTATACCTGAAACTAATATTACATGCTGTGTTAACTAACTGGAATTTAAATAAAAAACTGAAACTACAAAAAAAAAAAGAAGAAGAAGAAGTGTAGAGGTCATTGAATATCGAAGCTTACATACCTCAGGACAGGACAGCCCCGAATCTCTGTCATCTAAGTCCTTCAAAAGTTCAGTCAGCCTTTTCCTCTCTCTGTCAAGCATAACCACTGGCTTTCCTGAATCCTTGGCCAACTACGGAATGTATTAATAAAAAACAGTAAATACTCAAGACAATTCATAATTCAGGAAAATAAAAATGGGAACTGAGGCTTTTATAGCACAGATACACTAAGGTAAAATCTGTGGGATTAGGCATTTTTCATTTTTGAGGTAGTTTTCTTTCAGGCCAAATTGTTGCTGTAAGTCCATTCTCCAAGTAAAGATACTCCTACTATAAGCAGACCTTCATGTTAGCCATTTCAACAAACATTTTATTTAAAATATAAAATAAAACAAACATGGGCAGTTTGCAATCCTCTTTTTATATAATATTTATCAATGTAATAACGTATTTGCTGAGGTATTTGGGAGGAATCTTCTTGCCACTTCCTACGTGACATGGATCTAGTGAATGAAATTGCTTTTATTTTTTTTTTGATCTGTGATTTTGTTTTTAATTATTTGAAGTCTTATCACATAATTTTCAAATTTGTGCTGATGGTATATTTCCTCAACTTTAATCCTTCTAATGAGTTGGTAAAAGCACCATAACCAATCATGCATATGTGGTAATTCTACAGTTATGTTTTCAAAAAGCTGTTTAAAAGACAATCCTGGGGCGCCTGGGTGGCTCAGTTGGTTAAGCGACTGCCTTCGGCTCAGGTCATGATCCTGGAGTCCCGGGATTGAGTCCCGCATTGGGCTCCCTGCT